GAAGGCAGAGAGTTCATGGTCCCCACACTGCCCCTGCTAGAGGGAGGGATCAGTCTCTCTTGCTCCCTCTTCTCATGTTGCGGGAAGATGCAACTCTTTGCATATTCCTAAAAGCATGGGGCTCACTCTGTTTTAGTTCTTAATATTTAGAAGTAAACTAAACCGTCAGCCAGAAACCCTCAAACTATCTTAGACTCCAAAAATTAAACAAGACACCTCGTTATAGGTTGGCATTCAGTCCCCCTGAAAAGATGTCTTAACTCTTGGTACCTGTGCATGTGACCTTATTGGAATCGGGGTCTTTGCAGATGATCAAGTTAAGATGAGGACATTAGGGTGGGCCCTAATCCAACATGACTGTGTCCTTATGGAGAATTTGGATGCAGACACACACAGGAGAGTGTCACGTGAAGACGGAGGCAGAGATCAGGGTGATGCTTCTACAAGCCAAGGAACGCTACAGATGGCAGCAAACCCAAGAGCTGGGAGGGAGGCATGGAGCAGGTTGTCCCTCACAGCCTTGGAAGAACCAAGCCCCATGACACCTTGACCTCGGACTTGCAGCCTCCAGAACATGAGACAATGAATCTCTGTTGCTTAAGCCCCTAGTCTGTGGTACTTTGTCACAGCACCCCTGACAAACTAGTACACAGCTGCATTAGGTATAAATAAAGTAAGAAAAAAAAGAGAGAAATGGATCTATAGTGGCTTTTTTCACACTCTAAATCTGCTAGAATCTAAAAGGGAGGTGGCACTCCAGGAAATAGGACTGTGCACAGACTTTACGAATATGACCCCCAAAGCACAGGCAACAAAAGGAAAAATAAACAAATGGGATTATAATCAAACTAAAAAGCTTCTGCACATCAAGAGAGACAATTAACAGAGTGAAAGGACAACCTACAGAGTAGCAGAAAATATTTGCAAACTATGCATCCAACAAGGGATTAATAACCAGAATACACAAAGAAGTCAAACAACTTCACAGTTAAAAAAAAAAAAAAAAGGAACCCAATTTAAAAAATAGGCAAAGGAGCTGAATAGGCATTTTTCAAAGGAAGACATACAAATGGCCAAAAGGTACATGAACAAATGCTTGACATCACTCAGCATCAGGGAAACACAAATCAAAACCACACTGAGATATCATCCAACCCCAGTCAGACTGGCTATTATAAAAAAAGACAGAGAACAACAAATGCTGGTGAGGATGTGGAGAAAGGGGAACCCTCCTGCACTGTTGGTGGGACTGTACATTAGTGCAGCCATTATGGAAAACAGTATGGAGGTTCCTCAAACAACTACACATAGCACTGCCACACGATCCAGCAATCCCACTAATGGGCATATACCCAGAGGAATGGAAATCATCATGTTGAGGGGATGCCTGCACTCCCATGGTTATTGCAGCTCTATTTACAACAGCCCAGAGTTGGAATCGACCTAAATGTCCATCAACGGATGACCGGATAAGGAAAATGTGGCATATCTACACAACGGAATATTACTCTGCCATAAAAAAGAATGAAATCCTGCCATTCACAGCAACATGGATGAACTTAGAGAAAATTAGAGTAAGTGAAATAAGCCAGGCACAGAAAGAGAAATACTGCATGTCCTCACTCGTAAGTGGGAGCTAAAATAATAAAAAAATAAACTTTAAAAAAGAAAGAAAGATATAACAATCATAATAATACATCAAACTTTCAAAAGGAGAGAACAGAACTGAGGTTACAAGAGGTGGGTAAGGGGGAGGGAGAGGGGACTAAGGGAGGAATCGATAAAGGGGCCTGGGAAACAATAACATTGCATAGTATTGAATATACTAACTATTCCGATTAAATAAATCAATAAAAACAAAACGTTGGTGGGAGCAGTGGAGGTGAGGCTGCTTTCAGTGTGGGGCTGCAGCTCAGCGCACTTCTACCCCCGGGTGGGTAAGTTTCACAGGGAGTGTTTTAAATGGTGACCAGTGGTTGCAGATGCTTCCGTCCCACTGTACCGAGATAAATCCCACTGGAAAATAACGGGAGTGTGCCGGAGGTAGATGTTTTTTAATCTGCCAAACTATGCAAGCTGAATGAGAAGCGTGTTTCGCCCCAAGTGCATTGAGGGGCTGTGGGTAAAGAACACAGACCTGAAGCCCAGACACTCCTGGGTTAAAATCTCGCCTCTCCCTGCACCAGCTCTCTGACTCTGGGCAGTCAGCTAGAGAAATGGTTCCTTAGAAGCAGTTCTACTAAGAAGAAAAAGTCATTTCTTACTTGTCTTATTTTTGAAATATATTAATCTAATTGTCTCCAAATGTAAAATATTTAGGGATCCTTCACTATTTAAGGGTCGAACCTAAAATAACAAAAAACAAGATTACCATTTCAACAGACACTTTAAAATCGTTATAAGGATATTGGCTTACATACAAAGCATTAGTTGTTAAGGCATTCTATTTACAACTCACCACTCCACATACTCTAGTCTCAAAAAGAAAAGAGAAGAGAAGAATAATATCAGTTGAATGAGATGCATGGCGTTACAAACTCATATTGATAAAATTTCAAAAACATGAATATCATGGGTTAAAAAATCTGAAATCACTAACTTAAATAGAAATACATTTAGTTATTAACTTTTAAGAAGTCATTACGTACTAAAAGGTTACCCCGAAAAGACTAATCTGCCTTACGAATTCATTTTATCAAACAGTAGATAGGACGGTTCACAGCTAGAATGCTGGGAAGTATATTTTAGTGTTTTATGTAGTGGGACGGTCCTTACAACGGCTTTCCCACTGCTGATCTTGCATCACATAGGATAGAATCTCACATACAGTTGCAGCTATGCCTGTATAAATTCCTTTTGGATGGTTCATGCAATGTGTACTCTACATATCCTGGAATTTAATTACTCTTAAATCTTCAATGGTCTCTTAATATAATGACCCGTTTTTACTTTAAAATTTTTATCTGTTTTAAATTATTTGTGCTTGAGATACAAAAGTTTTATTTTATTGTGAATCTGTGAAATCCTACTTGAGAATCTGAAACACAGCTTTGGAAATATCTATATCTATATTTCAGCCTGTAAAATTTTCTTCACTGGAGACCAAATTATACTGCTAAGTAAAAATTAGCAATAAATAAAAGTAACTTTAAACTGAGTGTGGGAAATAACAGCTATACTGTCATGATATAAGTAAATGTACTATAAATGTACTACAGTACATTTATTTATGTCATGACAATCCCACTCTATATAATACAACCAAACATCACAAACTAGCTCTAGTACTGGTAACAAAGTTAACCAATTTGATGTTTGGTGGTTTACCTCTTGTTTTTTACTTTTACTTCAGCCTCCACATTTACAAGTTCACATTACAGTAAATGAACCAGGGAATAGTCCTGTTTCCACTTTTCAATCATTAATTCATTAGTTACATGGTCTTATTCTCAAATTACCTTCCTGAGAGGGACCGTCTGGACCCATTCTGCGGAGTTCACATCGAAAATGTCCACTGCATTTTCACTGTACACCAACAGGTACGGGGCATTGTAACCTGGGAGGTAACAGCAAACATGGGCTTCACGATTCATTTTTAAGTAAAATTTTTATTGAGATAACGACAGATTCACATGTCATTGTAAAAATAATACAGACAGATCCCTTGTGGACTCTGCCCACTTCCCCCCAATGGTGACATTTTGCAAAACAATGATACTGACATTGATTCAATCAACCTTCCTATCTTAGGCAAATTTTCCCTTTTACTTGCGCTGTGTGTGTGTGTGTGTGTGTGTGTATCAATTTCCATACAATTTTATCACCTGTGTAGGTTCATGTGTCCAACACCACAGTCAAGATACTGAATAATTCCAACACCTCGAGGATCCCTTTTGGTTCCCTTTTAGAGCCACACCAACCCCTTTCCCACCTCCCCTTCTTCCCCAAGCCCTGACAATCAGTAATCTGTCCTCCACTTCTAACATTCTGTCATTTCAAAAATATTACATAAATGAAATCATATAGCACACATGATTAATTTTATCTGTTAAACCCAAATTCATTAAAACACACACAAACAAAACTTCTAATTAGGAACCTAGAAGAATCCCGTTATAATACTCTTATTATCAGATCATAGCTGCTTCAAAACCACTTTTGAAATATACATGGTTTAAACAAATGTAAACAAGAAATAAGTGATGTGCACAACTCAAATATACGTAGTGAAAAAAGCTTTCCAACACCTCATCTGACAGCAGCTGTACTAAGTAATGTCATAACACCTCAAAATCTGTCTTCCAGACCAGTTCAGCTCACAACAAAAGAAGATGGTATACATAAGGTGAGAAAAGTCTATGTGGAAAGTGAAATTAACAAACAAAGCAGTGAAATCTTCTGGCCAGTAACATTTTTGGAACTTTCCACTTTATCAATGATAACCCGTTATGGTTCCTAAATGTCCAACCTGTCAACATGAATATGCCTCCCCATTAAAGCAACCACAGTATAAACAACACAACATCTTTTTCCCACTTTCCTCCTCGTATGCTCACGATGTCCCATCTCTTTCCCTTTTCTTATAGGCAGACTCCTGAAAGTGCTGTCTACCTCCCACGTTCTCCACGTCTCATCTGCTCACACCTCAGCCCACGGCAATCTGACTTGCACCTTAACCTCTCCGTCAGAATCGCTCTCACTACAGGTTATCCACCGTCGACTGCTGCTAAAACCAAGACACATTTCCACCGCTGTCTTCTCTGATCGCTCAGTGATGCTGGACCCGTCTCTCTCAGGCTCGGTGGTGCTCTCTAGGTTTCCCTCCTGCTCCCCTGAATTCTCGTCTCGGTCTCCTTTGGGGGCTTCTCTTCCTCCACCTGTGCTCTCTTCTCTTCTCTCTCTTTTTACTCTCCCACACAGCACGTCCAGGGCATCAGGCTGACAACACCAGAGACTGGTCATCATCTTCAGTGCTACAACGGTGGGATGACCAGACGCTGTGTGCCCCTGATGAGGTGACTCGGTATGACATGTACAGCACTGTTAGAAGCATTCTCAGTAAAAGCCTTTAGAGCTCACTTTCAGTTGTGGAAAATTCAGGATATAGAAGATGTTAAAAGGCACCATGAGAAAACAAAAAGATCCAGATCATAGGACATTCTGTAGGAACACAAATCGGTGACATGGAAGACTACTCATGATTAGAAGATACTTAAGAGAAAACAGTGGTGTGCAATATGTGGGCTTGTTTGGATTCCGATCCAACAAATGCACTGTAAAGAGTCATACTTGTGATAATCAGAGATATCCGAATATGGACTATCAACCAGAATCATGCACAATTTCTTCAGCAGTGACCACAGCAATGTGGCTATGTGAGGAAATGTCCTTATTTTAGAGATGCATGCTACAGTTGCAGAGATAGAATGACGTGATGTCTGGAACTTGATTTGAAACACTGCAACATCGCAACAAAACAGGAAACACTTGACTTGTCCTATCTCTTCCCTCACCCACCTAAACCTGATCC